CCTCCTGCCTGAACCTCCCAAGTCGGTAGGACTACAGGCCCGTGTCACCAAGCCCAGCTAATCTTTTTAAAATATTCCATAGAGACGGGTCTGGCTCTGTTGCTCAGGCTGATCTCAAACTCCTGGGCTCAAGTCGTCCTCCTGCCTTGGCCTCCAAAGTGCTGGGACTATAGTCGTGGGCCACCGCCCAGCTCAGGATGCATTTTTTAAGTGTTTTTGGAAAAGTGATAATAAACACAGTAAGAGAAGAAACTTCCCTTTTTGGTTAATCCTGTGCAACACCCTAGAGGAAAATGCTCTTAGCAGTTTTGTGTGCATGGTTTTCAATTTTTGAAATCATTTTCGAGAACTCCATATGGCTAATGGGAGTCGTCATATCTATATTATTAAATATAATCCATTAATAGTATCAGGCTGCATATGTTCTTGTTTACTTTGCACTTTTCACTTGCTGATGAATTGTAGAATCGTGTGTGGCTGCTTCAGTTTTCACTTGTTATTTTCATAGATACATTGGCTATTTGCATTTCCTCTTTTGTGAAATACATCTTAACATTCTTTATTCATTTTTATATCGCTATTTGTCTGTTTATAACTCATTGTTATACGGCTTGAGTGTTAGGGATGTTAATCCATCGCTTTTTATATGTGCTGCAAATATGGTTTCCTCAGCTTTTCTTCATCTTTTGCCTTGTGGGGTTTTCACGGTTGGGTAGTCATTGGTTAACTCTTTCTTTAACGGTTTGTGAATTTCAACTTGTTTAGGTCTTTCCAAGCCCGAAATATATAAATGTTTTCTCCATATTATGTTTTAATGTTTTCAATTCCTCTAATGGTGATAATATTATTTGCGCAAGGAGCACTTCAATGTATGCAAAGTGAAGATCTTTTCCTTTTCTCGACGGATAGTCCATCGTCCCAATGGCATTTAATCAAAAATTCATTCTTTAGCATTCAATTGAGATGCATCTTTTCCATATTTTAAATCTCTATCAGTATATTTATTCGCACGTGCTGCTGAGGTCTCGCATTAGTCCACTGATTTGTCTATTTATGCACCAGCAACGTGTTTTCATTATACTGGTTTTGTTGT